GACACCATGCAATCTACCAAAGAGCTGCTTCTTCAATGCCTCAAAGGCAAAATCCATTCTCTCAAGCTGTTCCATTGCATTCACATTGTACATAAACAGCCCATAATAAAGTTCAAAGCTGTCTCCAGCTGTATTCTCCACCAACTTCAACAAAGTATCATACCCTTTTGTGTTAATTGGCGTAGAATCCAATTCTAACTTCTCCAAAACCCTGCCCATTGTGTGGGTAATGAACTGTGACCCTGCTGCATGCCAATCGTGTTCTGCACAACTCATCTCCACCATTCGGCATCCTTCTCGTGCAAAAATATCAAGGAACCTATTACACCGAGCTACTCTTCTTTCATCACTTCCAACCCTCACTTTATCAAAAAGAAAAGGAAGAGAAGTCCACCCATTTTTACCACTTTCTGGTCCAAACATGGGATGCGTGCATAGAATATCAAAATCTGCTGGCAAATGTTGAAGAAACAAATTCCTTGGGAACTCTTTCACAGACAGCACATCAACAAACAAAGTACTTCTCTTCAATCTCTGAAGTGGCAATGACTTGAGAACTTTTTCAGTCGAAAGAATCGAGGTACACAGAAGAATAACTTCGGGATGTTCTTCACAAAGGTCATTAGTGTCAGAGAAGAAAGAAACCCCCAATTTCTGAGCTGCATCTCTGTAATCAGTTCTTGAATAAGCTAAAACCGAGTGGCCCTGGTGAGCCAGGGTTTTGGCAAGGAACTGACCAAAGTTTCCAAATCCAACAATTGCAATCTTGAGTTTTGAACTATCATCAACACTTTCAGATATCTTTCCTTTAAATTCATATGGTAGAATAGCATCTTGAGATCTGAAAGTTCCCGAAAAAGTTTGTAAATATATTACGCAAACAGATTTGGCAGCACAGTTTTCCCAACTTAATCTCTTCCAAGCAGTTTTACTGGTCTGCTAATACTAGATCAATGATAAACTCCACAAACATTACAAATTAAATCTGATATTAGAGAAGTCAAGGAAGAAAAAGAATATTGAAACTCATTCTTCCTAACAACTCAGTCCATGATCTTGATAGGTATTCCTAAAGCCAAATTTACTCCATACCTTTCTATGTCACACCAAACATTAACTAAATTGGGGGGGAAATTTTATCTACTTTCAAAAATATTCAACAAATGCGGTCCAGTAAAACAATGAAAGATTCTAAATTCTTATTTTGATCATTTTTCTTATTTAGTTTCACTTGAAATGGAAAGTCTTAAGTCTTTTAAAGCTAAAAGGACAACTACTATCATATGCCATATATGTTGAATTGAATCAACAATTAAAAAAAAAATAAAAGAGTAAAATGCAAGAACTAAAACCAGAATAATACAACCCATTACAAACTTACCTCAAAGCATTTGAGCTTGAAGCCAAAGCAGCACCATTTTTGTATCTAATCCCTTCCAAACTCTTTCCCTTCTCTCCATTCTCAAACAACTGTTTCCTCACAACATGATGCAACCTCCCAAAAAGCTCATTCCTCAAAGCATCAAAAGCCAAATCCAACCTCTCCACCATCTCCAAAGCACTCTTATTATACAGAAACAAGCCATAATACAAATCAAAGCTATCCCCACAAGTATTCTCAACCAATTCCAACAAAGCCTCATAACCCTTTGTATTAATCGGCGTTGACTCTAAACCTAACATATCCAACACCCTCCCAACCGTGTGTGTCACAAACTGTGACCCCGCTGCAAACTTGTCGTGTTCTTGACAGCTCATTTCCACCATTTTACAACCTTCACTTTTAAATATTCCGAGAAAATCTTCACACCTTTGAACCCTGGAAGATTCGTTTCCAATTCTAACCTTTTCGTAGACAAAGAAGAGGTCTTTCCAGCTTTGCTTGGCGCTTTGTGGTCCGAACATGGGATGGGAACAAATGATGTCGAAATCGGAGGGCAAGATATCAAGGAGAAGATTCTTGGCGAACTCTTTGACAGATAAAACGTCGACAAATAATGTGGACCGTTTCAGTCTTTGCAAAGGAAGAGATTTCAACACTTGTTCGGTCGAGATAATTGAAGTACAAAGGAGGATAACTTGTGGGTGTTGTTCACATAAGTCGTGGGGGTTTATAAAGAAGGAAACTCCCAAACTTTTAGCGAGATGAGAATAGTCGGATCTCGAGTAGGCTAAAATTTTATGGCCTTGAGAGATGAGAGTTTTAGCTAGAAATTGGCCATAGTTGCCAAAGCCTATAATAGCTATCTTGAGGTTAGAAACAGGTCGGACATGTTCTTGGGCGGGTTTAGCGAAGGTGGTGGTGGAGGAACAACACTTTATGGGAAGTAGTGTGGAGGAATGAAGGGAAATGGGTTTTGTTGATGTTGGGAGCAAAAAGAGAGATTGGAGGAAAGGTAGCGAGTGTGAAGAAAGTAGGAAAGGAGAGGGTTTTGCAAGGGATTGATGGAGAGAAGGAAGAGAAATCATTCTTAGTTTTTCAGAGAGAATTCTAGTAATGGAGGCAAAAATGGCAATCAGCAACTAGACCGTGGAAGGGTTTGGCCTTTAGGGCTTTGAAGGACTAGGGTTTTCTTTTTCTGAACTGTTTTTGTTTTTTTCCTATTTTATTTTCTCTTTGAATACTCACAACGCAATTGAGGAAGGAAGTTACCTGTGGTGTTTCTGGAGTTCCATATATGAAAATGAAACTCTAATTTGGTGTAGAAAAAAAAACGTGGAGAACAGATAAACACTCTCGTCATAAAATAAAATAAAATACAAAGATCACTCAATTTTTTATCATAATTATATATTAATTTATTAATTTTTAAAATTAACATTTAATCAAAATTATATAAGTGTCGTCGTTTAAATATAAAATATTTGAAAAGCTTTTTTTTTTTTTTCTAATCAATGCTTCTTTATATCGGTCATACTAAATATTACTAAATCTTCTCCTAAACCGCGAGTGACTAGCAAAAAGAATTTTTGTTTTAAAAAATATATATATAATTTTTTAAAAAATATATAATTTATTATAATAATATTTTTATAAAATTAATAAAAAATAAAATTATTATAAAAATATTATCACATCATCAAATTAATAAAATTATTGATAATTGACTATACAAAATTTATGTATCTAATAAAAATATTTTTTTGAGGTAAAATATTCATTTTGAAAATTGATAGACTTATATATAATTATGATCAAAAGTGAAGAGATTAGTGTATTTTACTCAAAAAGATGATAATCATATGATTATTTCTGCCCTTTTATCTTTCCTAATTAATTGTTCAATTACAATTTCTTCTAATGAATCATGTAAGCTTCAAATTTTAAATATAAAGTCTTAAAACTGTTTAATTACAATATGTAATGCACTTACACTACATTTGATAGAAAAAAAAGTAAATGGGGATATTGATTTTTCCTTTGATTTTTTCTTATTATTATATTCAAATTATTTCAATGCATCTTTTTGAATTGCTTAACATTGAACTCCGACTTTTTAAATTTTTAAAATCTTGGCCCCTCATTGTTAAATCATTTTTGCTTCTTTACTTTGTCTATTTTGTTCTTCCTACCAAACACAACAATAATTAAATGATAGAAATACTCGCCAAATTCTTATATTCATATATTTTGTTCAATTTAGTATCTGTATTCAAAATCAAAATAATTTAATCATTTGATTTTAAAAATTATTTTAATTTAGTTCCTTCTATTAAGGTATCCAATTTTGTTATTAAAACAATAACGTCAATGCTGATGTGGTATATTTTAATGACATGACACTCACATGATGATGTGGCATCAACTTGATGACATGGTAGTGCCACATGCCATTAATATGATGATGTGGTAGATAAAAAATTTAAAAAAAAAATTTTATGTCATGTCATAAAAACTAAATTGAATAAAATTGAGATATTGAGAGATTAATTAAAAAAATATTTAAAAATATAAATCTTTAAGTATATGATAAATATACATATTAATAAGTCAAATATATAAATATAAAATATTTATGGTGTTAAAAAATATATATAAATATTTTATGACTTGATTATTTGATTGTACAATATAAACATTAATTTATCTTCTTTACAAAAATTAAGTTTGAATTCTTCTTGTATAAACAAAATTTTTTTAAAAAATTTATACATAAAATCAAATTTAGATAAATAACTTACATTATGTTAAAATAAAATAATATAAAAATATTAAATAATTTTTATTCTTTTATTTATAATAATATAAAATTTTAAAATTTATTTGATTTAGTTTTTAATTTGAGTTGAACTCAAATTAGTAAAATAAAGAGAAAATTTTAAGAGAATAGAGAGAATGGCTATTCTTTTCTCCATAAACATATCAAACATAGTGAGAAAATTTTTGAAGAATAAATTACTCCTTCAACCAAATATACTACTAAAGACCACTCAGAATTCTTTATATATATATATAAATATATACATATATCCTGACCCACTAATTAAAGTTCAACATCTTACTATTTCGTATTTTAGTTTTGTCACAAGATGGAAAACATGTTCAAATTTGCTGTCACTTTTGATAATTCAGGGTCCCACTTTTTCTCAAGGAAAGAAGAAGCGAAAGAAAACAAAAACATGTCTGCCGTGGGGAATAATTTAGCGAAGGTCCCAGTGGGTCAAGCCACCTCGATCAGCTCTGCTCAATATATGATATGATCAATGTTTACACACGGTGAAAAGGTAGAGGCAGAGCAGACTTAATGGACGTGGAAAGGAGACCTGTCAAACAAGGATATGTAATTCAAGCAACTTTGTTCCAAAAATTTAAGTTTTTCCTATTGACTTTTGAATGTGGTTGAAGTTATTATTCATGAATTTAATGTGTTTATCATATCCTATTACAATTGGCATCAGCTTTGATTCACACTTATTGAAATACGCTGGTTGTGGGCTCTTGAGGGCCACATACATTCCATGTTGGTTACAGTTTCTGAAGACTGAAGCTAGTCTACAGCTAAGAATTTAAGCAGCTGCCATACTATTTACGAATTGGAGAACAACACAGTTTAATTGATTCTAACTGACACTTTCTGGCGAAGTTGCAAGGGCAGCACCGTTTCTCCTAACAGACTTCTCCTCCACAACTTCAAGCCTATTTTCAGGGGATGCCTGCAGTACTGAATTCTCCCATAAAACGTGGAATTTCTCTTTGGGAGATGTGGGCATTGCGGCCCCATATGGCACAACTGATTTCTCAGGAAAAACTTTACCCTTTCCTTTCTCAAGTACTTGAAGCTTCTCATCGGCACTTCCAACCAATTGCCTCTGAAAGAGACCATGTAATCTACCAAAAAGCTGCTTCTTCAATGACTCAAAAGCCAAATCTAACTTCTCTAGTTGTTCCATGGCGTTTACATTGTACATAAAAAGCCCATAATAAAGATCAAAACTATCCCCAGCGGTGTTCTCCACCAAATTCAACAAAGTTTCATACCCTTTAGTGTTAATTGGTGTGGACTCTAACTTTAACTTCTCCAAAACTCTTCCCATCGTGTGTGTAATAAACTGTGACCCTGCTGCATGCCAATCATGTTCTGCACAGGACATCTCCACCATCCGGCATCCTTCTCGAGCAAAAACGTTGAGGAATGTATTGCACCTTGCTACCCTTTTTTCATCACTTCCGACCCTCACTTTATCAAAAACGAAAGCAAGACCTTTCCATCCATTTTTACCACTTTCGGGTCCAAACATGGGATGTGTGCATAGAATATCAAAATCCGAGGGTAAATTTTGAAGAAACAAGTTCCTTGGAAACTCTTTCACTGATAGTACATCGACAAATAGGGTGCTTCTCTTCAATCTCTGAAGCGGCAATGAGTTGAGAACTTTTTCAGTGGAAAGAATCGAAGTACATAAAAGAATAACATCTGGGTGCTCTTCACAGAGATCATCAGCGTCAGAGAAGAAAGAAACTCCCAATTTCTGAGCCACAGTAGAGTAGTCTGTTCTAGAATAGGCTAAAACTGAGTGGCCTTGTCGAACAAAGGCTTTTGCAAGGAACTGACCAAAGTTTCCAAACCCGACTATTGCAATCTTCAGCTTCGAACTATCATCAATGCTTTCAGAGATCTTCTCGTCGTATTCATATGGTTGAATCACATCTTGAGATCTGAAAATTACATTAAAAGTTTGTAAACATGTCAAATTGGATTGTATCGGACCTTGCACTTTCCAAGCAGGTTTTAGAAGGTAAAATCCCCTGTTATTTTTTTTTATCAAACCATGATAATGGATGAATTGAAAAGTAAGGGAGAGCAGCCAACCAGTTTTTAAAAATATACTAATTTTCTAGTTTTTTTTTTCTATACTTTGTGAAAATCAAATACGACAAAAGAAAAACAAAGGCGTAATAATTGACATATAAAAATATATATAAAAGAGATCCAGTGACACTGTGGGATGGGTTTGAGTTATATGTGTGTGTATATATATATATATATATATTGGGTGGTTGGGATGCCTTGTTTTGCCCCATTTATTATTGCTTGGAAGGCATGTTTTATTGAACTAAGCTCTGACCGAGGAGGGGAACTAATGTTGAATAATCAATAATAGCAAGAAACAAAGTGATAGTAATATAGTAATAATTTATCTATACTAACAAAGAAGGCTACAAAGTGGACTGTAACTTAAATTTACCTCAGGGAGTTTAAGATCGACGGCATTGCAGCACCATTTTGGTAACTTTTATCTGGCAGACTCTTTCCCCTCACTGCATTCCGGAACAATTGCTTTTTCACTACATCGTGCAATCTCCCTGAGAGCTCATTCCGCAACTCATCAAAACCTAAATCCAACTTCTCAAGCATCTCCAAAGCACTCTTATTATACAAAAAAAGCCCGTAGTAGAGATCAAAGCTGTCCCCTCGAGTATTCTCCACCAGTTCCAACAAAGTTTCATAACCCTTTGTATTAATCGGCGTTGACTCCAGCCCCAACATGTCCAAAACCCTGCCTACCGTGTGAGTCATAAACTGTGACCCGGCTGCCAACTTGTCGTGCTCTTGACATCTCATTTCCACCATTTTACATCCCTCTCTTTCAAATATTGCTAGAAAATCGTTGCATCTTTGGACCCTGGAGGATTCGTTCCCAATTCTGACCTTTTCGTACATAAAGAAGAGGTTTTCCCAGCTTTGTTTGGAACTTTGTGGTCCGAACATGGGGTGGGAACAAATGATGTCGAAATCAGGAGGCAAGACGTCGAGGAGGAGGTTCTTGGCGAACTCTTTGACGGATAGGACATCGACAAACAAGGTGGACCGCTTCAGTCTTTGTAGAGGAAGAGATTTCAAGACTTGTTCGGTGGAGATAATCGAAGTACAGAGGAGGATGACATCAGGGTGTTGTTCGCAAAGGTCATTGGGGTTTAGAAAGAAGGAGACTCCAAGCTCTTGAGCAATGTGCGAATGGTCGGATCTCGAGGAGCCTAAAACAGTGTGGCCTTGAGCTACCAGAGTCTTGGCCAGGTGTTGGCCGTAGTTTCCAAAGCCTATGATGGCAATTTTAAGGGTTGAATTAACAGAAAAAGCAAGCTTGACAGGGTCTTCAGTAGGTTCGGAAATCGATGTTGAGGAGAAGGAAGACCTGATTTGCAGTGCTTTGGAGGAATGTACAGAGAGGGGTGTCCTCATGTTAACAAAAGGAGACTGAAGGAAAAGTGGCGGAGATGGGTTAGAGAAATAGACATGTGAAGGTTTTGGAGGCGATTGGTGGAGGAAGGAAAGTGATGGCATAGCCATTTTAATTTTTGGGTTAAGCAGAGTGACTCAAAGAGAGAGACAGAGACCGAGAGAGAGGGAGTTTGGTTACGGAGAAGATGGAAAATTGGGCACCGCTCTGTTGCTAGGTTCTTAAATAAATCCTTCATCTCCTCTCAGGATCCGATCAAAGATCATATGGTTTTTTTTTTTTTCATTATTATTGTTAAGAATATGATATAAAGTGCTTCTATCTCACGTCTCGAACAGGACGAGAGGTTTTGAATTTTTTATAAATGGGTGTGTTGTACACTTCTTTAACCGCGTTTACGAAGAGAGTACGGGTGTGACCGGATTAATTTATTAGTCAATGCAAAAGAAATATTGCACGTGCTAGTTCTCATCTTCTCGGAAAGTGGGACTTGAATCCAATAATAGTACCCAAGCGGGCCAAACCCATCCCTGTGTAGCAGAGTACGGGCATTTATACTCTGCATGTAGCCATGTACGTGTCGCAACAAACTCCAAGGAATACACTCAACGACAACAGAACACCGACCAGTGACGAAATTAAGTTAGTTTGAATTTAAGATAACTATGTTTCATATGTTAATCATGTTTACATGAATATAAAATTTTTTTATTAAAATAATAAATTTATAATTTATTTATAATTATATATATATTTTGATTTAATCGTATTCATCATATATAAAATATATAACTGTATAAATTATTTAAACAAATTATAAATTATATCATATCATATAAAATTTAATTTGATCTATTTAATAAACATATTAGACGTATTGTAACATATTACATGTTAATAAATATATTCATATTCATCTTCACAATTTTGATACTTTTAATTAATTTAGTAATGTTTGTATTTATGTTTATTTATTAATATTTTAAATTTATACGACATAGTCAAATAGAAAAGTCTTAAGACAAGATTTTTAAGAATGAACTAATTACTCTAATAACATCCCAATTCTACAATGACAAAGAAGAAGAAAATCAAAACACAATCCGACATTTCGAATATAAACAATATATATATATATATAAAAAGCCTTTAAAATCATGTGGAAGTATAAATAATATACTTAGGAGTATTATTTCTGATAAGCACATGCATGATGCAACCATCATAGGCTTATTTATCTCTTTGTATATTTGCAATTATTCCAAACCATATATGACTGTATAATGAATTGCATTTGTCTTCTTCCATGGAAAAAGAAACATATATAAACGACGTGGAGACCAGCAGCCTGGTATCTGATGTTTGTCAATGCTCCACGTGAAACAAATAATAAATACAAAAACCGTTCAAATGAAGACTAATCAGATACAATAAAAACCACAATTTATAATTTCCTTTTACTTTTCAAGAGCTTCCTCTTATGTGATGCTCATGCAAGGGAAAAAATTATAATCAGTAATTATTTTTTATTTTTAATAGTAACAAGGTCAGTTTGATTTAATTTTTTAAAGTTTTTGAAATTAAAGCAACTTAGAAGAGAAATTACAAAAAATAATGTAAAAGGTTCTTTTGCTAAGGAGAAAAGATGTGTTATAATAAGTAAAATGGAATGCACTAAATGTGACAGAGAGGAAAACTAAAACAGCCCTTAAAGCGTAAGAATTTTATATAAGAAATTTTTATACATAAAATAAAAAGATACAATTTGAGTCATGCATATAAAAAAGGTAACGTAAGGCAACACTTTATATGTTTTTTTTTTCTTCAACAGAAGGAGTATCCAATGAAGCAATTTTTGTGCCTATTCCCTTCAAAGCTTTCCTTTACTACTTTTGAAATAGGCTTCAAATCTTGTTTATGCTTTTAGAAAACTTGGAAAAACACCATGCTTGCAAATTTATACATTTATTATTATTATTATTACAAAATTTGCTTGCATTAGGAACATCCACTTAGAGTATTGCACACTTGAAACGTCTTTATGCATTATGCACTAGGTAATGTCTTTAGGCTTTACACACTTGGAACGTCCGTTACGTACTTGAGAATGCATTACGCACTTGGGAACATACTTAAGCGTTATGCAGTTAGAACATCTTAGGTGTTACGTATTTGGAACGTCCTAAACATTATGCACTGGGAATGTCCCTATGCATTGCGTATTTGGGAACACGCTATGCACTTGAGAACGTCCCTAAGCGTCATGCACTTAGAATGTCTTGGGCATTACACATGGGGAATGTCCCTTAATGTTACACACTTGGAACGTCCCTATGCATTACATGCTTAAAAATGTCCCTAGGCGTTATGCACTTGGGAAAGTTTATGGGCATTACACACTTGAAACATCCCTGGACGTTACACATTAGGGACATTCCTATGTGTTACATACTTGAGAATACATTATACACTTGGGAACATCCCCAAGCATTACGCAATTGGAACATCTCGGGTGTTATTTACTTGGAAACGTCCTTAAGTATTACGCACTTGGAATATTTCTATGCGTTACACACTTGATGCGTCCTTATGCATTATGCACTTTGGAACATCCCTATACATTACACATTTGAAACATCCCTATACTCAGGAGTGGCTCAATAAGTTCAAAAGCCAAAAGCTAATATTCAAATGAGGCTTTTTTTTATTAAAATTAAAAATATATATTAAAATTTTATTCTTCTAGCTTTTTGAGATGTGAAGTTTCAATTAAACTTTTATAATCAAGTTCTTCTAATATTTCTTTTTCAATTGATAATATAGCCAATCCATTTAATCTTTCTTAAGACATTATTGATCTTAAATAAGATTTTATTAATTTTAGTTTTGAAAAACTTCTTTATCCTGAAGCAATGCTTATTGGAATAAATCAACTATCACATAAAATAAAAACAATATAACAATATAATATAAACTCTAAATTAAAGTAAAAAAATCTGTAAAGATTAAAACAATAACGCTTAATTGTTGAATGTTTATTGCAAACTACAAATGAGGCTCACAGCTTTATGAAGATAATAAAAAAATGGACTTTTAGTGTATTCTTTAGAGAAAAATTGAAGTTAAAGGAAGAATGAACAAATAAGAAACGAAAAATTCAAAAGTAGATATTATACATTAAAAAAATAATTAGTTTCACATATAGAAAAAAAAATAGCTGTTGGAAATCATTAAATGCTTTGATTGGAAATAAGAGAAATAAGTGAGAAAAAAATAGCCATTGAAGATGACTAAATACATATGACTATTAGTTGATTGAAAATAAGAGAGTATAGTTGAAAATTAATAGCATTCTAAAAATAAGAAAGTGAAAGAAAATTGAGATTTATTAAACACATAATTAGAAAAGTGAGAGAACAAATAAGTTTATTAATTATTTTTTATTTTTATATTTTTTAATTTTTATTATAATTAATTATATTATAATTATTATAAAATTATAAATCCTCTCTAAATTTGGAGCTTTTCCAAATTTGGGGCATAATGCCTTGGCTTGGGTGGCTTCACCCAAAGGCCGGCCTTACCTATTCTTTATGCATTTGGGAACATCCCTATGTGTTACCCACTTGAAAATGTCTTTAGGTATTACACAATTAGAACATCTTTATATATTACATACTTGAGAATGTCCCTAGGCGTTACGCGTCTCTATACATTATGTACTTGTTAACGTTTTACACACTTAGGGCTGTTACGCACTTGGAAGTCCTTATGCATTACTGCTTTGGAAAACACTTAACGTAGTTTTGCCCTACATGAAAATTTTATTATTAAAAATAAAAATTTTATGGATAATTGAAATATTAAGATTAATAACAAATCTTGTTGTGCACAAATGAAACCTTTGATATATAAAAAGGCTCTCCAGATAATAAGTTATATGCCTTTCGATGATAGCATGATGGAGAATACGAAAATAGATGTGGTAGAACTACTTCATACCGAGGGAAAAGGAAGAAAAGGTTAGAAGTTGCTAGAGGAATATTTATTGATCGCTTTTCTAATGTCATATCTTGTCGTCAATCTTTTCCATTTAGAATAGGATGAAGAAGTTTAGCAACTAGCACTTAAAGCTTTACACATTCGTGAGAAGGCATTTGGAGAAGATTCATTGCCTACTGGGAAGGCTTTGGATTATTTGGTGTCAATTCAGGTCAGACTTGGGAAGGGTTAGGTTGAGTTACTAAATTAGTTCAAAAGAATTCTGAGGTTTCAAAAGAAAGAGTTGGGCTGAGAAAGTGAGGGAAGTTATGATAACACTAAAATGAATTGTATTCTATTTAGATATATTAGGAGAAAAAGGAAGAGAAATTTTCCTTAAAAAAATTTTACAAGCTTTAAATGAAATACAAACAGGTTGCTCAATGTGAATATAGTACATTCTCATTTTCCAAAAAAAAAATAATAGGATGTTTTAGATTTATAAAGTAATTGCGTGACACGTTTTTACTAAAGTAGATAATAAGTTATAAGATTTTTTTTTAGTTAGGCAAGTAAGATGTGGGCTTGTTGTAGACTTGAACACCAATTTTTACCATGATAATAAGAAAAAGTTCAAGATAAGAGTTGTAGAAAATATGGAGAGAAGTAGAGATATAAGTGGAAAAACAAGGAGATGTAAAAGATTTGCTAAAAAATTTAAAGTGTTAGATTTCTATTAGGAAAATAATTCCTTAAAGTCTATAAATAGTTGAAAATAGTTTTACAAAAATTCACAATCAACTTTTAATATTTCTCCCTAAATTTCTTTGAATAAGTAAATTCTCTTTGCAATAATATTTTTTATATTATTTTTTCTTGTTTCTCTTTTTTTTTTATATTGCTTTTATAAGGGAAGAGGGAAAAAAATTAATTATTTAATATTTCTAAAACATAGCTTTTTGCAAAGAGGAATTTTTTTTGTGTGTGACATCAGCACCTCAATCAAGTTTTGTTTTTTGGTATATATTTATTGATTTATATATATATATATATATATATTCTTATCTATTTTGTTTGACATAAAGATAGAATAAACAAACAAACATTGATCATTATTGTAATTTTAAAGATGTAATGATGCATATGTAGGAATGATAATAAAATGTAATATGTGAATACTTATCTGGTTGCTTGTTGGTTAGGAGTTTCGCTTTCTCATCTGATGGCCAAGACTTGTTTTACATTAAAAGTTTGCTATGGTAAGCCTGGTAGGGCTACTCTTGGAAAAAAGAGAAAGGGTACTACTACAACTTCTCTTTTTAAGAAAATGTGAGTAAAGAGGACTGCTAAAGTTCCTCCTAT